TTGCAAAATGCTAATGAGGGAAATCAATGAATATTGAAATAACTGGAGAAATACCATATCCATGGATTGGAAGACTTAAAATAGTGAAAGTGTCAGTCACCTACCAGTTTACGGAAAAGTTTAATACAATTGCTATAAAAATCCAAGTAAATTTATTTTCAACATATGCAAGCTTATTCTAAAATATGAGGAAAAGGCATAGACCCTAGGTATGTCACAGACTTATTTGTAAAATATAAAGTTATTACACATCTAGGAAAGAGTATGAAAATATCTTTGGGATCTAGAGCTAGGCATAGTTTCTACACTTGATATCAAAAGCATAAAATGATTACTTTGACCTCATCAAAATTAAAAACTTTGGCTCCATGAAATTTGCAAGCCACAATCCAACAGTGGGCTAGTTTCTAGAATAAGGAGAGAACTTTCAGAGTTCAGCAATAAAAACAACCAGTTCAATTAGGAAATGAGTCGAAATGCCCTTACCATTTAAGAAGATTTACAGATAACATGTAAGATGTTCAATGTCACTAGCCATTAGAGAACCAGAATGAGGTACCACACTGAACCTTTCAGAAGAGCTAAAATTAAAAATGGTGGCAACACCAAATGCTGGTAGGTTACAGAGTAACTGAGTCTCTCACACAGTGCTGGGGGGATGGAAAAGGGGACGGCCACTCTGGAAAACATTTTGATAGTTTCTTATAAAACGAAACATGCGGCTACCATATTGCACTCTTAGACATGTACCTCAATGAAATAAAAACCTATACCCCAGGGCCAGTGCTGTGGTGTAGCAGGTTAAGCTGCAACTGCAGTGCCGGCTTCCCATATGGGTGTCAGTTCGAGACCCGGCTGCTCCACTTCCAATCCAGCTCTCTGCTAAGGCCTGGGAAAGCAGTAGAAGATGGCCCAAGTGCTTGGGCCCCTACACCCATGTGGGAGACCCAGGAGAAGCTCCTGGCTCCTGGCTTCGGATCGGCGCAGCTCTAGCCCTTGCAGCCAATTGGGGAGTGAACCAGAGGACGGAAGACCTCTCTCTCTCTCTCTCTCTCTCTCTCTCCCTCCCTCTCCTCTCTCTGTGTAACTCTGACTTTCTTTCTTTCTTTCTTTCTTTCTTTCTTTCTTTCTTTCTTTCTTTCTTTCTTTTTTTTTACAGGCAGAGTGGACAGTTAGAGAGAGAGACAGAGAGAAAGGTCTTTCTTTGCCGTTGGTTCACCCTCCAATGGCCACCGTGGCCGGGGCACCGCGCTGATCCGATGGCAGGAGCCAGGTGCTTATCCTGGTCTCCCATGGGGTGCAGGGCCCAAGTACTTGGGCCATCCTCCACTGCACTCCCGGGCCACAACAGAGAGCTGGCCTGGAAGAGGGGCAACTGGGACAGAATCCGGCGCCCCGACCAGGACTAGAACCCGGTGTGCCGGCGCTGCAAGGCGGAGGATTAGCCTAGTGAGCTGCGGCGCCGGCCTCTGGCTTTCAAATAAATAAATAAACCTTAAAAAAAAAAGCCTCACACCCCAAAACCTGAACACATCAGCATCATTTGTAATAGCCCCAACCTGGAAGTGCTGCGGGTGCCCTTCAGTGAGTAAATGGTTACAGGAACTGTGGTAAATGTGTACCACGGAATCCCGCTGAGCAGCACAGAGAACTATCAATATGTGCAGAAACTCAGGTGGATTTAGGGGCAGTGCTACATGGAAAAAGTCAATCTCAAGTCATTACATACTGTCTGATTCCATTGATATGGCCTTCCCGAAAGCACAAAGTTATATATATGATGAGCAGGCAAGTGAACGCCAAGGGCCAGGGAAAGTGGAGGGTGGGGGAGGAGAGGGCTGTGTCTACAAAGGGGTGGCAGGAGGGAGCTCCCTGAGAGTTCTGCCTCTCATTTATGGTGATTCCATTCATCTACAGGTGTGAAAAGATGGCATCAAGCTATACATATGCATCATATCATGTCGCTTTCTTGGTTTGGATATTGTATGCTATATAAGAAGTCATGGGGGAAATTAGCTGAAGGGATTTCTCTCTCTTTTTTAAACTGTTTATTTAATTGAAATTCAGAGTTACAAAAAAGAGTGAGATCTTCCACCCGCTGCTTCACTCCCAGGAGCCAGGGGCTTCATACAGGTCTCCCAGGTGGGTGATTGGGACCCAAGAACTTGGGCTATCTTCTGTGTTTTTCCCCAGGCCATTAGGAGGGAGCTGGCTTGGAAGTGGAGCAGCCGGAACTTGAACAGGGGACTTATAGGATGCTGGCTTCACAGGCGGGAACTTTACCCATTACACCACAGCACTGGCCCTGAGACTTCTCTTGTCCTATCTTTGCAACTTCCTGCAAATCTCTAATTATTTCAAAATAAAAAGTACACACACACACAAACAGTCACAGTCACACAGAGCCCTTGGGAGCATGGCAGGCTTTGTTTTGCCGGAGAAGGGAGTTGATTGCATCGTGATGCAACAACTCACATGAAGGGGCAGGCGCATCCATCCGGGCTTCTCCACTCCTGAAAGGTCATTTGTTGCCCACCCTCCCTCCTGCACTGCTGGCTCAGACCTTCCCACCCTAGCTGTGCTGCGGAGTAACTTTCAGTTCCACCCTCCTGGCCTACGCTGCCTTCTCGTCTCTACCTTGGGTTGTCAGTCACACACCACCTCTTGCTCCAGTCAACCAATCAGAGGAAGCCATCCTGGCCACAGGAGGGCATGTGACTCAAATTGGGCCCATCAGAGTCCTTGCAGGGAGTTGTTACAGGGCATCTGCCCAGAGTGAGGCCTTGGAGGCTTGCTCTAGGGGGCAGGTGTTTTCCATAACTTGGCAGGTGTTCTACATAGCAATGACTCCAAAGGAATCTGGGCCCAAGTGGGAGAGCTGTCACCTGTGCACCTGCCAGGTGGGTGCAGAGCAGCCAGGACGGAGGGGACACAGCTGAAAGTGTGTACACTGCTCGGGCAAAGCTGCCTCCCAAGTCACCCATAGTCCCTCCCAGAGGCTCGATGCCCACAGGTGGGCTGGAGGCCTGGCCACATAGCTGCTGCCAACCAAGGAATGCCCACTTTTCCTCAAACAGCCCCAAGGCAGCCCACTCCCGGCAGTCTTTCTGGGCTGCCATGTGCCGTGTGCCGCGCTGTGTGGGATAGAGGATGAACGGGCAGGGGCCAGAGTCAGACAGAACCAGGGCTTGGCAGCAAGGCACAGGGACCTCTTGAGAGGCAGAAGGGGCTGGAATGGGGGTGCCCTGGGAGGCCACACACACATTCTTGTTCTCTCTCCTCGCTCTCTCCTTCCCCCTCTCTTCTTTTCGCCTCCTCGCTCCAGCTTCCCCCTCTCTCCCCTCCAAGGCACTTCAAACAGAGCCGAGTTGTCGGAGCGCTGGTCTGTTCTCCCCAGGTCACCTCACCCTGAGGGCCCCAAGGCCCTGTTTGCGCCTGCCCTGTCCCTGGCTCCCAGTCTCCTGCCACCCTAGGCAGCCAGGCCTAGCCAAGGCCAGGCTGTTTTGGAAAAGTGCTGGGAGGTGGTAGAATGTGCGGTCTCCGAGTTCCCTCCAAGCTGGCGCCCCAGGCCCTGGACAAACAGTGGCCGTGTTTTTGCTCGTCACAGTGGCCTGTGTTCGCCTTCCAGAGCAGGGGATCCCAGGAGCAGCCAGGCAGTCAGACGTCACCAACTGGCCGGACCTGTGGGGGAGACACAGGGCCAGACTGGTGACGTCGGGGCCAGCTCTGTGCCCCTTTGGGCCTGCCCACTGGCTCCAGGACTGGGTGGTCAGCTCAGGGCAGCCTGGGACCACACTTCCTTCAACCGTGCTGCCACCTGGAGAGGTAGAATTCATACTCTGAAAAGCTACTACCCTGCCTGACCTGTTTGCCAGTGGGAGCTGAGGCCCCTGTGAGGGAGGGAGCCACACAGAGGGACAAGTGTCGGGTGGGGCAGGTCACCGGTACTGCCATAGGCTTCCGTGTGGCCTTGGGGAAATCCTGCCATTCTGAGACCCTGCTTTATTTTAGGGCAATCTCCCCTGCGCTGCCCTGACCCTGGAGAGGGTGAAGGGTCAAGGTTAAGGCTCAAGAGTTCTGGGGTCAGGGGAAGCATAAAGAGGCACAAAGCAGATGAGCAGGTGGCACAAGCCTGGAGGCATCGTCAGATGTCTGGTGGCCTGGATCCATGACCCCCGTAGGGCCAGGCCCTGCGTCCAGGTTGGGTGCCTGGGCCAGGGTGCTCGGAGGCCGGGCTGGGCCTGACTGTATTGGAAAGAAACGCTGCACTTACAACAGAAAAGGCTAGCTGGGGGGATGGGTGTTTCCTCGCCAGGCCGCAGGGCAGGGACCAGCCCACTGACACTGTGCCACTGTAGCCTGGGTTCCTAGCGTGCAGTGTGAGGGCCAAGGCTCTGCCTCTTGTTGCCTGCCCCCCAACCACGCACTCACTCCTGCAGGCCTCGGTGGCAGGGCAGTTGTGGACACCAGTTGCGCTCCTCGCCGGCCCCCACCTGGGCCCTGTGACAGGCAGGTTGTGCACACGGTGCAACTGTTGGCGGTGGAGGACAAGGCATCAGCCTTGGAGAATGCTGGGGCCTGCGCCCCCTACACTGCCTGTGCCCCGGGCTGCAGATCCTGGGGCTCAAGGCTCTGAGAGGAACCTGCCTGAACCTGTCTAACCATTTCCCAAACCTATTAGATCACGGAATCAATTGGATCTGGTCCGGCTATAGGCATGAGTCAGGTTTTGAGAAGTGCTGGCATGGGGCCTTCATGAGGCCGGAAGTCAGGTAAGCTAAATCCTGCGCCCCGTGGCTGTGGGCTGTGCACACAGCCAGGCCCCGCCAGGCCAGGGGGAGCCGCCCGGCCAGCCAGGACTCTGCCATGGCATCTCTGTGCTTTCACACCGCTGGGCTGGCCTCCCAGACAGGCGCTGTAGGGAAGGACTCCCTGACGGGCTGGTGGGCCCCTTCAGCTGGGCGGAAAGGCAGAGACCAGAGAGGCAGACGAGACGAGGCTGAGTCCCCACGGTTTATTATGGAAGCCTATAAAAGAGCCACACTGAGTATTTCCAAAATCACGAAATGCACAACATTCATTTTTTTAATATGCAACATGGAATATTATATGCAGACTAAAACCACATGACAGCAAAACACTCACACGGCACCAGTCTCATATCAAAACAAAACACACAAGTGCTTTTTCAATATTAAAACAACTGTGATAAAAACATATTAATATTTTGAACCACGTTTACAATAGAGAAAAAATTCATATTTTACTAAATAACAAATATTTAACAGCAAAAAACTTTATACTAAATATCTATTTTGAATTATAACAAAAATAGTACTTATAATAGTTTATAAAGACAGACACAAAATTATAACATTTATGAAAAAAAAGTTTTGTGTATAAAATAACATTATAGCGATCTGGGCAGGGGCGGGGGGTGGGGGGGAGTGGTGGCCAGGACACAAACACCAGCGCCCGACATCGAAAGTGCTTTTTAATCTGCAAGCCCATGGCAGGAAGAGTTGTGTGGGGTTTTGTCTTTTTAACGTCAAGTTACAATAGTTAGGAATGGTAAGTGAGAAAACATCACCCATCTAATGCTACGTCTATAGAACACACACGCAGAGACACACGGACACGAACACCCCACCACGGAGCCCCAGGGCCAGAAGGAGGAGTCGCATCCAGGACTCCACCTGCCAGCCGCGGCCACACCAGAGCTTTGGCGGGTCCTCTCCTTGCTGCCTTTGAGGGCCAGCCGGGCAAACCATCCTCCCTTCCTCCCTCACGTGGATCCCCCCAGCTTTGCCTTCTCGGCCCTCTTCCAGCCTGGCTGCCCCTTGAGGGCCACAGGGGCCTCCCTGAGCCCCCTGACCTCACCAGGGCCAGACCCGGTGGGCCTCTGGTTAGAACTTTCGCTTCAACGATTTGTCTGGGGCAAGTGGAATGAACCTTCCAGAAGCTGGGCTTTCTCTTGGGTGGCAGCTTCTGGTGCCCCATGCAGCTATTTTGCAAGTGTTGGTGAATCTTTACACGGTTTGGCCTGTTCGATTTTCAGAAATGGGGTAAGATTGAGGGAACTGATGGTTTTTGAAAATTTGGAACTGCTTTTGCAACAATGTCTGTTCTGCAGTTTCTGCAGTGGTCAAAGAACAGGAAACAAATGAAACATGGGCGAATGGAGGGTGACGGGGCCATGTGTGGGGTGGCCCCCATGCCTGCCCAGTCTCCCGCGGGGCGCAGGTGTGGGGGGTGCCCGGCAGTGGCTCCACCCACCGGACACGGGGCGGGGCCCCAGAGCCGCCCCCAGCCACTGTCAGGGGCTCATTCTCCTCCCTTTGCACTTTCTTATCAAGACTCATTGCTTTTATCACACCAAAACCCAGTAAACACGCAAAGCCAAGGAAAACCCAAAAAACGGGCAAAGTTGCTTCGAAACTCACAGAAGCCCCCCACCCCCCGCCAGCCGCCCCCAGGGAGCCAACATATGCCAGCACCCGGCGGCAGAGCTGCTGCTCTGGGTCCCACACGGCTTCCCACAAGTCCCACGTGCCCTGCCTCCTCCGCTCCCGCCGCCTCCCCTGCGAGGACGCCCTCCCATCACGTCCCCTGGCTTTCATCTCGCCCCACAGCAGACAGCGGCACAGAGGCAGTGGGACCTGCGGGACACCTTGCCACGGGCTACGGGCAGGGGGGTGGTTAAGGAAGGGAAGGCAGAGGAAGAACGAACCCGTATCCTTCCCTGTATGCACTAGCAGGGTGAGGGGCACTGGGGTGGGTAGTGCCACGCAGGAAATCCTAGCCGCCTCCGAACCCACGTGATCGGGGGTGGTGCCAGGACAAGCGGGGAGGGGGACACCGGGGGTCACTTCCCTGTCTCCAGCAGGGACATTGGGCTGAGGTGCTGGGTTTCAGCCAGGCTCTGAGGTTAAACCCATAGAAGGTGTGGAGCCAGGTGGAGCTGGACCAAAGCCCCTTTCTCATCAATAAGGTAAGTCTTGCTGGGGACAGCTGGGTCAGGGGTCAAGGGGCAGAGGGGATATTCACTCCCAAGCTCTATCAGTGAATAAATACCGTGCCGGGGCGGGGTGAGGAAGGGAAGACAGCCCATGAGCCAAGGGCCCCTGCTGTGCAGTGGGATCCTGCCTGTGGGAAGTGGGGCTGTCAGTGCACCTGCCCAGGGCCACCAGGGAGGATGCTGGGGGCAGGGCCCAGGGCTCCCGTGCCCAGGGTCAGCGGAGGAAAGAGTAGCAGCAACAGGTAACGGCAAATGTCCATGCTGGCAGGGGGGCCTCTCCAGGAGGGGCGGACGCCTTCGCTAACCCTGGGTGCTGGCCGTTGAGGCAGGATGGGGTGCCCCAGACCCTTCCCCGCCTTCCAGCTAGAAGAGAACGGGAGGGAAGGGGCCGGTTCAGAAGGTCACAAGCACAGACTGCAGCATGAGCCGACACATGGAACACTGTCACAGGCATGCAGGGAGCTGGCCTGGCCGGCCCTCTCAGGAGCTAAGCCGGTGGGAAGTGGGGAGACACTGGAGAGAAGCGGAGCCCCTCCCCCACACAGGTTTTGACCTCCCCTCACCCCAGCCCCAGTGCTGGGCAGGGGCGCAGCTAGACGGTGGCGCTCAGCATGGCCTCCGTCTCGGGCAGGATCTTGTTCTGGTTGGAGTCCAGGCCAAAGAACTTGACGCTGAGGCCGTCCACAGGGTGCAGGACGGGCACCAGGGTGATGCGGGGGAAGGTCCGGGTGGCCAGCTCAAAGCGGCTGGTGCTGGCCAGCTCCACGGCCAGCACCTTCAGGAACAGCTTGGCCAGGTGCTTGCCCAGGCAGGTCCGGACGCCGCCGCCGAACGGCAGGTAGTGGAAGCGGCCGTCCTTGTCTTCGCTCCGGGCCTGGCTAAAGCGGTCAGGGTCGAACACGGTGACGTCTTTGAACACGGGCGCTGTGTCATGGGTATCGCGGATGCTGTACATGACGCTCCAGCCTTTGGGAATCTGGAAACCCTGGGGTGAGACGGGGGCCGGGAGGGGGGTGGTGAGAGCAGAGGAGGCCAGCCGACCCCACCTCTGCATGCACAAGACCTGCGTCTGTCTTCAGACACACAGCCCCTCAGAGGCCTCCCCAGCCTCCCCGTGTGGCATGCACTTCTCATGTCCACATGCAACTTCACATGTGATACCTGCGTAGGCTCCGCCTGATTCTGTGTTTGGAGCCGTGCCTGTCCCATCAGACCGACAGCCCCCTGGAAACAAGCACTGCCCTCCCCCGCCCCCATCAGACTGCGGTACCTGAGGGGGAGGCATTGCCCCCACCCGGGGAGGTGCCCCCCAGCCCCCAGCTCCCCAGGGCCCGGCCTCACGTCGAGCTCGAAGGTCTGCAGCACAGTGCGGTAGCCGCCGGAGATGGGAGTGAACAGGCGCATGACCTCCTTGATGACGCAGTCCAGGTAGCGCAGGCCGCTCAGCGTGTCCAGGCGCAGGGTGCCCTCGCAGGGGCAGCCGCCACTGTGCAGGATGCCCTGGGCCCGCAGCTCCTCCCGCAGCTTCTCCAGCACGGCTGGGTGCTTCAGCAGCTGCATGATGAGCGAGGTGCTGGCGCTGGCTGTGGTGGCGTAGGCCGCAAAGATCAGCTCCAGAGTCCCGTCCTGCGGGGGCACACGGGAGAGGCGCGTGGGCAATCTGCGGTCAGTCCTATTCTGCCGGCATCCCCAGTGCCCAGGGCCACCTCTGGAGTCTGGAGCCTGGTCTTCCCACTCCCAGCCAGGGTGTGCAGGCAGCCACACCATGAGGACCCGGGGTGGGGGGTGCTGCAGGGAGACAGCAGAGGGGAGGCGACTCCTGCTGGGGAACAGAACACGGCGGCCACGGGACCCTGCGGAAAGGTCCCCCAGCAGGCCGCCTTATTTCAAGCCCTGTGTTTCACAAAGGCAGACGCAGGGCCTGGGACCCTTTCCTCGTCATGGTGCCGTTTGCAAGTCAGAACATTTTTGAAAGGGAGTCATTCTGGCCTCTTCCTGGCTCCCCCAGGGAAGAGAGTGAGAGGAGTACAGACTGTGGGCACCGAGCAGTCAAGTGGGCACAGCCCGGGCAGGGGTGAGCTAACAAACCCGTCCTCAGAACGTGCACCCAAACAGGTGGTCAGGAAGCCCTGCTCTGGGCCCCAGGTGGGCTCAGCTCTCTCCAGCCTCTCCCCTGCTCCTTGGCCTCCCAGAGCTACTGGCACCAGGGAGGGAAGTGAGATGGTCCCAAGCAAGCACCCGCACAGCAGGGACAAGAATTCCATCTCTTCTGGCTGAGGCGTGGAGGGGGGGGCAGGCGGAGTGACGGCCACCACTGCTGAGCAGAAAGCACACTCGGAGCAAGACGGCAACAGGCAGAGACGGCCAGGCGCCTGGCCCAGCCCAGGGGAAGCCCCGAGCACAGTACGGGGAGCTCCCACCCCACCTTCAGCTCCTGCATGGTCATCTCCTTGCCGTGCTCCTTGCTGCTCTCAATGAGGATGTCCAGGGCGTCCGAGTAGTCCTTGCCCTGGGTGCACTGCAGCTTCTCCCGGATCGCCTTTTCCAGCCCCTTCTGGAGGATCTGCCGAGCCTGAATGCCCTGCGGGGAAGAAGGGGCCGTCAGCTCCCTCCCAGGCTGCTCCTGCCGACACCTGCCCCCTGTCCCCGGGCCCGGTGTCTGTCCCTGTCCGGATGCCCCGGGTGCTCACCCGCCGGTAGCCGCTGAAGGGCAGGTCCACAGGCAGGGAGAAGACATTCTCCACAAACTGCTGGTAGACCTCGAAGAGGTGGCCGAGGTCCTCCTCGGGGATGCTGAAGCCAAGCAGCACCCGGATGGCCATGCGGAAGGTGAGCTTCTGCGCCTCCTGGTACACGTTGATGGCCTCGGGGTGGCTGCTCCAGGCACGCAGTGTGTCCTGGATCACCAGCTGGATCTTGGGCAGGTAGCTCTCCAGGGCCTCATGGCTGAAGATCTTGGAAAAGATCTGGGGGCAGAGAGGCATGCGGGTCAGCACAGCTTAGGACCCTAAGCCAGTAAGGCCCACTGCTCTGGCCAGGCAAGGCACACAGCCCACGGCTGTTCCTGCTCCTCCTGAGCTCCCACGGGTCTCCAGACATGTTCCTCCAGGGGGTCCCTACTCTGAACCCCCACCCCACCGCCCTGACTTCTTGTGTCTTAGCAAGGAGGTAGGGAAGAACACGATTAGACCCCACCCACAAGCACCTGGGTTCAAAGCTGGGCCCAGCACATAACCAACAGGTAGCTGGAGCTGTCACCCCTTCTTTGAATCCCAGAAGCCTGTGTGCTGCACACCATGGCTGAGCCTGGGGGACGGATGGGGCAGGGCAGCTCCTGCCAAGTCTGCAGGGGGTGCTGTTGTCCCTGCTGTGGGGACTCCCGAGGTGGAAAACAGGGCTAGAGCAGAAAGGCTGCCCACTCGCTGCAGGGCACGGAGAGGATGTAGAGCCAACTGCACAGGGAGAAGCAGGAAGCTCAGAGCTAGACTGCATGCAGGACTTCCTGAGAACCTGAACTGTTCTCACTCCCTGCGGAACATCTACTGGGTGAAGATCCTAGGGAGCTCATGGACAGCTTTGTCACGTAAATGTCTTTGGTGTGGCCACGTCTGCAGGTGTGTGTGGAGGGGAGGATGGGGCCAAGGGCTTCCACTCCAAAAGATCACCAAGGCAAACAGAAACCCTTGCAATTCTCTGCATCTTCCAGGGCCACTTTAAAGAGGCAAGGAGTCCCCTGTCCACGTCCCCTGCCATCCACTCTCCTGACTGGCTCGGCGACCACCCCCGACCCCTCTCCTCATCCGGATGCCCCTGCACACGCTCCTCATGCTGCTGCCCACGGTGGGTGGCAGAGGGGAGGATGTTAGTTTATTTACTGACAGCTTGTGGGCCTCCCCACCCCCGGAGTCCAGAGCAGGAGGTGGGTGTCCTACATCAGCACCAAGAGAAAGGCAGAGGGGGAGGGGCCTGCAGAAGCCCCCCCACCCCACTCTGACGCAAACCACACACACGCGCCTGCCCTTCCCGCCTGCCCCCCAAACACAACCACCGCACAAACTGTAAATGTGAGAATTTCCCCTGCAGTCAGCTCCAGGAGGAAAAGGGAACATTTTCCTGGCCTGGGCCCTGCATGGCTAATGGGAGGGCTGGTTTGCAGAAATAACAGTGCTGGCCCTTCAGTGGCCCAGCCAGGCGCTCACAATAGCACTTTCATTCCGAAATTCCCGGGGCACACAGCACGGGAGGGAGGGAGGCCAGGGAGGGCTGCTCTGGCTACAAAGGGCCGGCTGAAAGGTAGAAGGATGGCGGGAGGGACCTCGGTCAGCACAGGCCTGCGCGGGTCACCAGTTTCTAGGGCCCCAGAGCATCCACAGAGGGACTTCGGCGGCCACCTCCACCTCCCTGGAAAGGGTTGTGGATAAAGGCAGTGCTGTCTGCCTCAGCCTTGCATCCTGGTGTTCAGATTCCAGCTTCAGCCCCTGGTCCAGGGCCTGTGGGCAGTGGGAGAGCCACCCCACCCCCAATCCAGCCAATTAAGGGCCCACACAAAACACGCGGGGACCTGCTCAGCACAGAGTACCACTTGGGAGCTAAGCAGGGAATGAGGCAGGGAGGCAGAAAGGTAATTCTGTGGCTGCCAGGCCTCCATCGGGAGGAGGGGACAGGAGAGCACAGTGGGTCAGAGCTGGCCAGGGACACTATCCTAGAGAGCGAAGGGTAGGAGGGCTCCAGGAGACTTGGGCCCAAAGATGAGCACACAGAGAGTGACAGTGCAGAGGCCAGGGCCGTCAGGGCAAGCCAAAGACTCAGCTAGCTGGGCTGGAAGATGCGGTGGGGTGGGGGGAAGATCAGCCGGGCCCCTCGAGGCCACGCTGTAACCACAGGGCATCCACCGACACTGTGAGACGGCGGCCGGGTCACTGCCCAGCCAGGCCTCAGTTTCCTCCTCTGTAAAATGGTGATGCTGACCCAGGCGACCTGTAGGCTTCCCTTGGGTCCACCTGCTCTCAAGTAGACCCTATCCACCCCCAGGCAGCACAGCACTCCGCCACACTTGCATCACCTGGAGAACTCCTACCAGGCCCCCACTCACAGCCGCCACGCCGGCTACAGGAGCCCAGGAGGGGCCATGTCAGAGCTCCCCCACGGTAAGGGAGTGCTCAGGGCTCCCGCCACAGCCTGAGGACTGGCCTGACCGGACCCACTGAGGAGCCCTGCCCGCCCTGAACATTACAGTCCCTGCGCCCTCTAGTGCTAGCCTGCTGAACCGCGCCTTTTCAGCCCGTGGGGACCCAGGAGGGCAGGCACCACCTGGGGAGGAAGGAGGAAGATGGGACGGAACCCCCAAGGAAGGGGATCCACACCTGACTCCCAAGTGGGAAGGGGCCCTGAGCAAGACCAGCAGCTGGAATGCACCCCAGAAGCCTCCTGCACCCTGCACCTGCTGCCCTTGAAAGGAGACCTCAGCCAGGCCCAGAGCTCTCATGTGAACCAGCTTCTGACCTGCCAAGGGAAAGCCAGCAGACTGCTGCCTCCTCAGACCCAGGGACGCCCTGAGGGCCCTCTCCACCCAGCAGTCCCATGACTGTCCTCCGAGCCCCCTCCCCACACAGGAGAAACCCCCGGGGCAGAAGGCGGCGCTCCAGCCCCAAGGGGCTTTGCTCAGAGGTCACAAAGTCCATGCCCCCATCTCCCGTCCAGCTGTTCCACAGGCATCAGGGCCTCCCAGGCGCTGGGAAGACTCCAGGGCCTTGTCCCTGGGTCTGTGCCCAGGGTTAACAGAGCGGGCACTTCCCGAAGCCGGGGCAGCCCAGAAACCACCGCCCACCGCAAAGGACAGGCGGAGGTGGAGGTGCCGGCCAGGGCAGAGGGAGGCCTGGGCCGAGTCTGGGCGGGCTGGGTCTGAGGCAGCCGCCTGCTGGGGTCAGGCCTCGGGCACAGGGAAGGTGCCCTGCCCGGGGAGTGGCTCACTGTGGAGAGAGGAGGGTTCCCAGCCCCCGGAGCCAACCACCCTCCCCACAGTCATCAAGGGAGCCAGGCTGCTTGGGTGCCTTCTGGGGCTTCCCCCGGAATTCCCAAAAACAAGCCAAGAATGCAGGACAAAGGTCACTGGGAAGCAGTCCAGGCCTCGGCAAGGCCCTGCAGCAGGAGCTGCAGGTATAGACTTCCCACCAGGGTTGGTGCCGCTCTGGGGGGGGGGGGGGGGGGTAGAGGCTCGCGGGAGGCCTGAGCATTCAGGAAGGGAGCCTGAAGGCCCAGCTCAGGTGCCCTCACCTCCAGCTCTCTCTTGGCCTCCAGAACAGGAGCCAATTCCAAGGGGTCTGGGCATCGCCAGGTGGGTGGGTAGGTGGGTGGTTTTCCAGAGTTCAAATTCTCCATAATTATTCCCACCATCACCTTCTGCCCCAGCCCCCTCTCCCCGCCGCCTCTCACGCAGTGCTCCTGGGAGGGGGAGCTCTTGGCATCGCCATGGCCCCATGTGCTGAGCCAGATACCCTCTGTCTTGTCTGCTGTGGCTGAGCATGGACGCATAAACCAATGGGCAGCCACGGGAGTGGGAAGAGACAGAGAGGGAACCCTCTACAGGCCAGTGACTCAGACCGGGAGGAATGGAAACGCTGCCCAGGAGGGGTGGGGGCGGCCACTCGGCCAAGCCACCGGAGCCGCGGCCTGCGGAGTGGAAAGAATAACAGAGGGCAGCAGCCGCCACGGCGGCCGCTCTCGCACGGCAGTGATGCCAAGGTGTGTACTTTATGCTCGGGGAAGGGGGTGGGGTGCAAGAGAGAACGTCATCTTCCCTGCTGCTTGGCGTCTCCACCGGCCTCGGCTTCACCCTGAGCGTGTCCCATGAGGCCCACTGGCTGGGCGGGGCTGGGCCAGACTGCCCCTACCTGTGCATGCCCCTCCCCAGCGGGTAGGGGAACAGAGCGCCTGTCCCCCATGGGGGCTCCAGCTCTAATCATCTCGCCTCCAGTCCTGCTCCCCGGACCCCCAACTCACCCCCCAACACACACACACAGCCAAAGCAATGGTGGGGGAGGGGAGAGCAGCATTTGGCAAATTCCTGCTGAACCAGAACATCTGGAAAGGTGTACCCACCTGCTCAGTCCTCCTCCAGCCCCCACAGAACCTCCCTCCTCAACACTGAGGCCCACAGGGCTAAGGTGACAGTGGGGGACATGACTGGCCACACTCCGCTTCCCACACACTGCTTCCCACCCCTCTAAGCCCCACCGAGCTGCTGTCTACCAGCCCTGGTGGGCTCTGAATCTATCCGAGAGTCCCCAAGGGGACCTTCCTCCATGCCCCGGGCTCACTCACAGGGTCAGGCCAGCTGCTCTGGCTGCTCAGGCCCCTGGGACCCCCTGCCTTCAGGTCTGGGGAACCTGGGGTGGATACAGTGGCTGGCACAGGGAGCTCAGGGCCAGAGCAGACCCTGGCCAAGCCTCCCTACTCCCTGCCAAGGTCGTATTTGTCTTCCAAGGCTGGGAGAGTGAGCAAAGACAGCACAGCAGCCTTGGACCCCTCCCCGCCCTGGGGACACAGAAAGGAGGGAAGTAGGGAGAGGGGGCCTCCCACGCCCTGTCCGCCCACCTGCCTGCTGCCTGGCACAAAGCTTGCAGAGGGAGGTGCCCATCCCCAGGCGCCCTGGAGGCTGACCATGGGCTTCCTCCCCCGCTGGCTTTCAGAGAAATCCGCTCCTGCTGCCCACCCACTGATGCTACAGTAACTTTTGCATGAACGACTTCTGGCAGGACAAAGGCTCTGTCCGATGCCAGGGGACTGGCGCAGAGCTCCCAGTAGCAGGGCTGCCCAGTTGGCTGTTCCACCCCATCAGGTGGAAGCTTCTGCCTTGAGCTGAGCCTGGTGGACATGACCGTGTGGTCAGAGTCTGTGCATCGGTCCAAAGGCCTCCTAGAGCCTGCTGTGGGCAGTCTGCCCCCCAGGATCCTGCAACGGTGTGGCCTCCTGCTCTGCCCTCCTGCCTCTCCATCCCAACAGATAGCCCAGGTCACCCGGAGTTTCTGAGAGGCGCATGGTGACCCTGAGCCTGATCTCCATCCTCAAGCCAGGATAGGGCACAAAAGCCAGGGGCAACAGGTGACCAGGTGGGATTTCTCCATCGTAAAACCAAAGCCTATTCTCCCAACTCAGCCTCAGGCTCAGAAGACCCCATATACAAGGGTCAGGCTGGAAGGTGCAAGAAGGCCACTTGTGGGGCTGGCACTGTGGAATAGCTGGTTAAGCTGACATCTGCAGTGCCAGCATCCCATACAGGTGCCCGTTCAAGTCCTGGCTGCTCCACTTCCGATCCAGCTCCCTGTTAATGTTCCTAGAAAAGCAGTGGAAGATGGCCCAGGTCCTTGGGCCCCTGCACCCACGTGGGAGACCCAGAGGAAGCTCCTGGCTCCTGGCTTTGGTCTGGCCTAGCCCCAGCCATTGTGGCCATCTGGGGAGTGAACCAGCAGATAGAATCAATCAATCAATCTCTCTCTCTCTCTGCCTTTCAAATAAGATAAATAAGTCTTCTCTAAGAAAAGAAGGTAGCCACTCCCAGGTCTCGCCTGTCCAGGGGCTCCGGGTCTAAGTGCCTGTGCTGAGATGCACTCCGAGACCCCCAAGAGCAACTCAAGACCACTTCTGTGGTCCCCTGTAGGGAGGAAATACTCAATCCTCTGTTTGGGGCTGGGTATCAGAAGTTTCCAGAACTACCCCCAACTCTGTCTCCATGTCTCTCACAACCCTTTGACCCCCTCTCCCATCCAGACTCCATCCACTCTTCTCGGACAACACCCCAGCCTCTCCACACAAAGAGAGGGATGGGGTCCCTCCCTCATCCACAACATCCAGGCCCCTGGTAGAGGGAGGGAGGCCGAGGCCACGACTGGAAGGCCAGCGGCCTGGCCTCTGGAGGTGACTGTTAGACTGAGCCAATCTTTCTGGACTTTCTGGCAACCCCACCCCCTACTGGCCTTGGACCACCAGGGCAGCCAGGGCAAACACCTGGAGCATAGTGATGGCAATGAGCAGCCCCTTCCTCACACATCTGGTCAGACCTCCCAGAGAAGGGGTGGGCCACCAGCCCCAATGGAAACAGTGACGCTTCCAGCTCCGGGGCGGCGGGGCCCAGGCACACCTGTGTGTATATCCTGCCCTGCGTCCCTGACGGCAGCACGGGCTGGCGAAGGCGGTGAGAGTGGCACACGGCCACGCAGGGCCCCCCAGGCACTGGGTGCGGGAGACTGGCCTTTTCCCCAGGATGACACGGATACTCAATGAATCTATCTCTCATCCTTCGAATGAGACTACCTCTTGAGGGCACAGAATGAGTCCCCCATTTCTGTGGACCCAACCCAAGACCTTCCAGGTTGCTCAGTAGGGTTGCGTTCATCTCAACCATCAATCAGGGAGAGTGCAGAGGATTCTGGAGCCCACTGACCACCCACTTACCATAGGACCCCCACATGTGCCATGTAACAAGTTTGCACATAAAGAGAAGGCATCTGTATTTGGCTTTGGTTCACAAGCCTGCCCAGAGGAACTGGCTGTTCCCCACCTCCAAGGGCTAGCTGCTCCAAAGAGGAAGCCCACCGAGCCCTCAGCCATGGCCCTCAGCACCCTCTACCCCCAGCCCCGGTCCCATCTCCCTGGCTTGTTCATCAGTGCTGCCCCTCAAGAGACCCGGGGCAGGCCCTCCTCACCTGGAACCTGGAGGCCCAAGGCAAAGTCAGGCTGCGGATGGGTGGACCCCAAGGCAACAGCCTCATGCAAAGCCCCTGCACCACAGCACTCTGGTCCTGGCCAAGGCTTCTTCCCCCTAGCAGTCCTGTAGCCGCCCTGGCTTCTGGCAGCCCCAGGAGGGCAGGACTGCACTGCACTGCACTTGGCGGCCCAGAAACCCGGCTTCACAAGGAGCTGGAGAGCTGGTGTTGCAGGCTCTGCCCTGCCTTTGCGTTGCCACCTGGCTCCAGTCTCCTCAACCTCTCTACAGTCTCAGTGTCTGTCCCCTCCGTGCTCCAGGGACAGTAACGCCTTTCTCCCCAAGGCCTCTAAGGAGGTGCAATGAGGAAGCAGCCACAACCTCAGCCGTTGGATTCCCGAGTCTCGGCTGGGGCTCAGCTCCATGCCACAGGCCTTGGGTGAAGCCTCAGAGGGCTAGAAGTCATCGCCCAGCACTTGAGAAAAATCTTCATCCCTAGGCCCGCGGCCCCCTCCTCCCATTCGCTCCCAAGCTGCCCTATGGCGGCCTGCAGAGCCCTCCCCTTGGCTGAATACAGGCTTCACGGGGCACTCCCGGGAGGCCATCCCTCGGTTCCCTTTGCCCAGGCAGTTCTGAGACTATCAGGGTAGGATGGGCTGCGTGGCCGGACGGCATAGCCCCCCACACCCCCTGACACTACCGCACACCCAGGCTTCGGGTGGAGAGGGCTGCCCTTGTCGCCCCCCTCCCGCGCCCGCCGCGGCTCCGGAGACGAGAGGCCTCCTCTCCCTTTCCCTTAGGTTTCCAACCTGGAGGAGTCCCCTGACCCAACGGAAAACACGGAGTCGGGAGGCCGGGCCGCCTCCTTTCTGGCAGCCAGAGCCCCGCCCGCCGGCTCAGCTTTCGGGTTACTGCAGTTCAAACAGCACGTGCCGCCTGCGCTCCGCGCCTCCGCGCCGCGCCCCGGGAGGGGGCGGGGAGGCCGGCTGCGTGCGCGCCGGCTCGCCGCCTGCGCGCCGCTTCCAGTCGCTCGGGAAATCCGCGGGATAAACACCCACTTTCTCTTCCTCTTCAAGGGGCGGTGGGTGAGCTTTGATCCCCCAGCCGGCGCCTCGGCTTCTCCCACCGCTCGCCCTTACCCACACTGTCTAGGTCGGCGAGAGGAGGGGCGCAAGGCTCGCCACACCTCTCGCAGACGAGGTCGTGCCGCGGTTGCCCACGGGGGTGTGTGGCAGGAGAGATGCAGGTTTGGTTTTTTAAAGCATCGGTCTGTATTCTCCGGGTTCCTGGGGGAAATGTGGCAAAAAGAGGAGTGCTGGCCAACGGCCCCGCCCCCGTATTTTTTTCAGTGCTAGCATTGGGGAGCCTAGTCCCCACACGTTCCAGCTCTGCCCCAAAGGGTCCCAGACTGCCCTTCTCGCGTTGGGTCTAGAGGCGCAGTTGGCCAGCAGGAGGTGCGAGGGGAGAAGCTCTGCAGGCCTCGAATCCGAACTCGAAGCCGTCTAGACACGGAACAGCGGGGTCCTCTAGCGTGGCGCGCAAAAGTGGGAGGCCGATTCGGGGTAGGGCGTCCCCCTGGCGTCGCGCACTTCTTACCCCGAAGCGCACCGAAGGAGGGGTCAGGGCTCGTACCTTGCGCTTGTTGCGGTGGATGTCGCCGATGGAGTTGGCCACCGTGTTGGGGCCCAGCAGCATGCGCGTGCTGCGCGGCCACTCGGTGCTCACGAGGTGATGCTCGCCCATGAGGATCTTGCGCACGTTCTCCGCGCCGGTCACGCGGATCAGCGGGCGCCCCAGCAAGTGCGTCTTGAACACATTGCCATACTTCTCTCTCCGTGAAGACTGGAAGCCGGAACCCTGCGGGAGCCACACAGCAGACCTCTCTCAGGGCGCCTGGAGAGCCGGCGGGGGAGGGGCGGCGGACCCCACCCCGCGGCACCGGTCACCTGCCCTCCCCCACCACACGCGCGCGCGTACACACACACACACACACGCAGGTTTTATTTTTCATAGCGTGCACAAGAACTGGGAAGTAGGGCCCAGAGGCTAATAAATAACGCAAGGAGGCAGGAGGCCCAGGAGCACCCCCGGGAGGCCGGTTTTTAGTAATGACTTTCGGGAGGGAAAAGGTATCTCTGACGGCTGGACCTGCAGCTAGAGCCGCAGACCCCCACCCCCAACCCCGCGCTCGGGAGCCTCGGAATAAATATTTCCAGGCTCCGGGCCACGGGCTGGCAGACCCCGCGGGGTGGCCGCAGGCCAAGGATTATTTATAGCGGTGAGCGGTCCGTGCCCGGAGGCAGTCACTACAGATGGGGGTTGGCGTTCCCTCCGGTCTCCGGTGTGGCCGGCGCGGAGAAGGCGGCCCTCCGAGCACGCTGCAGGGCGGGGTCACGGGCCGAGAGCTGCGACTTTTCTAAAGCGTTTTGCCCTGGAAATAACTAAGACAGGACTCTCGCCGCCGCCGCCCAGGAGTTTGGAACCGGAGTGCGGCGGAAGGCGCTTCCCGCGGGGCGGGCGGGACCGGGCGGGGCGCCCCGCGCAGGTAACCGGATCCCCGGTGGCTGCGGCGCGAGCCGGCGACGGCGGGGCCCCGGCGCGGGCTAGCGCTCCGAAGAGCCTGCGGAGCCGGCCCCGCGCGGGTGCCGGAAACCGAGGGGACCACGGAGGGGCGGGGGCCGGGGCGTCTAGCTCACCTTTGACGTCGGCACTAGCCACCCCACCCCGTGTTAACCCTTCTCCTGCCGGGGCAGCCCCGGCCGAGCTCGGGAGGGCACCACCTGTGCCCGTGCACACAGACGGCCTCAGGCTGTCACCTACCGGGTCAGGCAGCCGAGAGCACACAGCTCTGCCTCCCCCCACCCCTCTTCTCTTGCTCGGTCCCCCTCCTCTCCTTCCTTTCTTCCACGGAAAGCTGTTCTCCTGCTAGCTGTGTGCACACCCCGGCGCGGCCGAAAAGTGACTGCAGAACCCGGTCCCTAATCACTTTTCCACATGCTCCTCCGGCCCCGGGCGCGCGACAGGGAGCGAGCCGGGAGCTCCCGCGCTACCAAGAAGGGGCCGGGCTGCGGGGACGTCGGCTCTCCCGCGGGCTGGAGGTGTCTATGCCTTTAAGAAAAGTAGAGGCGGAGGTGGGGTGCGACCCAGGCGGGGAGCGGGGTTCCCTCCCTCCGCGCGCCGTGCCCGGCTCCCTCGCTCCGTCTGCCTCCGTCTCTCCTCTCCTTCTTTCCCTCTGTTTTTCTTTTCTTTCGACACAAAAGTTGGGTTGTGAATTTTCCGAGGTCGCCGCCGCCTCGCCCCCACCCCCCCCCCGCCTCTGATCTGCCTAACTATAATTAAAGTGCGTTTTTTGTGGCATTAATAAAGAGTTATTTGTCCGCCGTTTCCACAGTCTTCACAAAGAGGACTTTCATAGGGGCGGCCGCTCGGGCCACGAGTCCAATTTATACAAAAATGTTGTATTTTTAGCCCTGGGCTCTGTTTAGATGGCGCTCGGTGGAAACGGAGAGCCCTCGGCGGTCCCCCCGTAAAATCTGATAAATGACTCCGAAAAAATAACGCCGGGCTTTAGAGGGCTCGCGTTAACCCCTTCCGCGCCCCTGCGCACGCACCCCTGTTCTCCCCCCCCCACACACACACACACCCCCGGCGGAATCTGAGGCCCGGGGCGCACGGATGCGAGGCGCAGGTTTCCACCTCCCAGACTTCGGCAGGAGCTGGATGCGGCCCCTCGGGGCCCCTTGCGGGATTCTGAGAAAACTTCAGGGGGACACGAAGGGCAGAGGAAGGTCAGGGAACGGGGTGGGGGGGGCGGGTGGTGACAGACCGCGGATTCCGCAGATTGGCTCTTACGAGGGGGGAGCCGCGGCCCATGTGAGTTATTTTATTTTCTGAGTTCTCGGCCAAAAACCTAGACCACCGCCGCAGTTTAACCCTTGAAGTGTGGAGGAAGGGAGAGGCTTTGGGGACTTTCTTTGTCGGGGGTGGGTGGGGAGGGTGGTCGCCTGATTTGATGAAATGAATCCACCCCATTCCATGAACCACCCCAGAAAGACGTGGGTGGACTCTGGGACCTGCGAAGACCACCGAGCAGAGGAACCGCGCGCCCCCCTGCGCGCCCCCCTCTGCTGTCATTCGGCCCGGGGCGGTCAGGGGCCGTGCGCGCGCGCGCGCGCGAATTGCACGCGTCTGTTAATCTCAAGCCAAGCTTTCGCACCACCGAACCCTCAAGTCCCTGCGCTCACCTTTCGCTTCACCTCTCCGTGCAGGAGTCGCCTGTTTCAGGTCATCCAAGTTCCTGCTCACCCCCATCAGCACGCACCACCAAACACACAAACTCAGGCGTGCCCGGGCGCGCGCGCGCACACACACACACACCTCACTGTTACCACAGGGGCGCCCCCACCTCCCCTCACACCCGCCCCCCAAAAGCCTGGTGTGTATCAAATTGCAAAACCGATTGTCTAGCATTTGACGAGGTTAACTCCAGGTTAATCTCTCCATTACCTACCTGGGTCTGGTCCCCAACGCGCCCCACCCCCATTATCACCAGCGGAGCAGGGTTGCGCTGCGTCTAACAGCAAACACGCGCGCTCTCTCTTTCTATGGATTTCACACACGCCTCTCCCAAGTTTCTCTCTCCTGTAAACTCTCCCCACCCAGTAGGTAAATAGACCCTTTTCCCCGAAAGCCGAGAGCCCTCGGGTCTCTGGCTTCTCATTTTCCTTGGGTTGCCTTCTTCCTCTCCCACCACAAACACACACACACACACACACACACACACACACACACACACACGTTTGCGCGCGCCGCGAGCCAGGGCAGCTGTACCTGGCGCAGCCGACTTCATGGCGCGAACACACCCCGGGCCTTAAAGGGACAATTCACTCCACCGCGGCTGCCCCTTCCTCTCGCCGCCCGCTCTGAGGCTCCGCGACCCCGTCGAAGCCCAGGAAGCCTCTGGCTACTGAGCCTGGAGTGCGCGAAGGGGAGGCGAAAGCCGCTCGGAACCGGGCGCCCCCTCGGACTCGCGCCGTGCGGTGAGCCCCCCGGGGCTCTCCACACGCCACCACCGGGTCAGCCGTGGGAGCCCTCTCCGGTCCGGAAACTCCTCCGAGCAGCCCACTGAGCCAGCGCACGCGGCGCGGGAGTCTCGGGACCTCGCCTCCAGCGGGCAGGAGAAGCCCGGGCGGCGCGGGCTGCGGGCAGGGAAGGGGCGGGGCAGGGACCCGTGCCTCGAGGCTCCCGGAGCTCCCGGCCCGCGCCTCGGACAGCCCGCGCTCGCAGCGTGCGGACCCCGGGGAGCAGCAGGTCGAGCGCGCCCTTACCTGTAGCAGCCAGTGGCCGGTCTCTCCGATGAGCGGGAAGCCCATGGAGCCCTTGGGGATGGGCAGCTTGCAGCTCTTGTCGCGGGTGGCAGCCCAGCGCAGCTGCCATAGCTGCTGCGACACGGCCAGCAGCAGCGTCACGGACACCAGGCACGCGGCGAGGGTGGCCAGCGCCGACACCAGCTCCAAGCCCTCAAAGAGCATGTTGGCGGCCGCTCGGGGGATTGGCTGTGCCGGCCGCGGCGGGGGAGGGGAGGGCCGGACCCGAGCGGCGGGGGAGGGGAGGCTGTGGCCGAGGGTCCTGGCACCTCCAGCCGCAACAGAGAAGGAAGGGTCGGAGGGAAGGGGAGTGGAGGCTGCGAGGGGAGCGGAGAGAGGGGGTGGGGTGCGAATTGCCTAGAAGAAGAAAGAGAGGAGACACGAGGCGACTCGAGGTGTAACTTTGTTTGTTTGTTTGTTTGTTTGTTCCTTTATGGCGGGCTTAGGGACTGCTCTAGGGGTGGTGGGATGAAGCCTGAAATCAAGCTAGTGGACTTGCTCTCCCCCTAACCATCACACTCGGAAAACTTTGCAAAACTTTGGCCAGCAAGAGCCTCTCTCTCCCTCTCTCCCTCTCTCTCTTTCGTGAGCCCCTTCCCCTACTCGGGGGGAAAAAGAAAAAAGAAAAAAAAGGGGGGGGGGACAGAGAGCTAGGGGAGAGAAAGTGCAATCGATTTGTCTAAAGTAGTCCTCCCAAGTTCCTAGGTTGGGGGCAAAAATTCTGAATGCAAAAATTCCAACGAACCCAGAAACTTTGGGGGCGAGGGAGAAGGCTCCCCAGCTGAGGCGAGTGGAGAGGCCCGAGGCCAGCGTCCCTGGGCTGCCCGGGGAGGCGCGCCCGAGCCCCGAAGCCGCCGCGGAACCCCGAGGCGGGCAAGGCGGGCAGCGCGGCGAGGCGGGCGCGGCGAGGCGCGGCGCGGCCCGAGCGCGGGTGCGGAGCCGGCGGGCCGCGGCCGGGACGGGACGCAGCCGGCGACAGAGCCCCGGGCGGGCGCTGGGGAGGCAGCGGCGGCAGCGGCGGCGGCGGTGGCGGCGGCGGGCGGGAGGGGTGAGGCGGGGTGGGGTTGGGGGGAGGAGGTGGAAAACCCGAGCTGGGCTATTGTATCAATTAAAAGGCAGTCCGTCCCGGGACGCGGTCTCTCGGCTCTGGAGTTGCTGCTAGGAGAAGAAAGGGGGGGAAAGAAAGGCAGGCGAGAGGAATGAGAGAGGGGGAAGCAGGAGGCAGGATTTCAGGGCTGGTGGTTTTAAAAGCGTCTCTCAATGTGAATTCAAGTCAATGCGAGGCGATGCGTGTGTTTATATAGAGGCGGGAGGCTGCGCCGTGGGCGCGCACAAAGCGGGAGGCGTGGTGAGAGGCCGGGCCCGCGGCCGGAGCGTGTGAGCGCGGCCGCCCCCCGCCCCGCCCCGCCCGCCGCCGCCGCCGCCGCCCGCCGCCGCCGCCGCCCGGGACCCACTTGTGGCCGCCGCAGGATCAAACTCAGTTCGCCTCTCGCCTCCTCTTCTTCTCGCCGGCGTCTCGCGGAGCCCGGCACCTACAGACGGACGAGATGAGACACGCGCGCACACGCGGTGCGCACTCGCGGGGTGCCCGCTTAGCTGCCCGGCTACTCCCCTCTCTCTTTTGCTCGCTCTTGGGTCCCCGACCTCCTGCGCTCGCTCCGGGCAATCTCCCGTGGGCCATAGCCACGGCAGAGCTGGAACTGGCCAGACCACCCTCTTGACTGAGGGAGGGTGGGGGTGCGCCCAGCACCCCTGAACCTGCGCCTGGGGCCTCGAGCTCCTATCGCACGGGACCCGCCGGCTCCCACCTCCTGGGACTGCTCCTTTGCCACTCTCCATCCCACCTCTCCTAGTCCCTCATCTTCTATCTACATTCCCAAACCTCAAATACCAAGTGCCATCTCCCTCATTTGGGGCGCTTACCCTCCAGGACCCCGAGGTTCCCCGTCCCCGTCCGCGTCCCGGGGTTGCCAGCGCCGCAGCCCCTCCCTGACACATCGAGACAGGCCCCCTCCCCACGCTGCAATCCCCGCCGGCAGCCCGCAGCGTCGGAGGAGCCCCGATGCTGGTCCGGGCTAGCGTCCGGCGGCGCTGGGAACAAATGCGTCGGCCCGGGCACCCGGAGGCGGGAGAAGTCGGGCACAAACGTTCATTGATACAAATGAGTAAATAAACCAGCCGGTGAGCGCGGCCACCTTCCCGGAGCCGGCCGCAGAGGACACAGAGCGCGTGCCAGTGCGAGGTGTGCGTGTGGCCCGGGGCCGCACCTGCGTATGCGCGCGCGTGTGTCCTGCAGCGGCCCGACGTCTGGGGAGCGAGGTGGGGCGTCTGCAGGTTTGTGAGCCGTGTGTGTCTGTGCGCCGGTGCATCTGTCTGTCAGCTGGGCTCTCCTCCTGCGAGCCTGTGATGCCGCAGAGACAGGCGCCCCAACGCCGACAACTGCCGAGCCAGAGTCTGGCTCCTGGTCTCCGCGCGTTGCATCCCGTTTTCTCCATCCCCCTCCCGGTCTCTGTCGTTCACTCTCACACTCCCGAAACAGGACTTGCTAACCCGGCTTTGATTTAGGGTGGTGTGTGTGTGTGTGTGTGTGTGTGTACGCAAAGGAAGCCAGACACCCCTTGAAGCGCCTCGCCTGCATCCAAGACGAGTTCTGCGTTAAAAGTAGCTGGAAGACAAGGTGCGTGAGTGGCCAGCATGCGCGCCTAAGTGTTGTCCCTCCCTGTGCGAGCGCTTCCGAGGTTGCTGCGGCCAGCGGACCTCTCCACGCTGGGCTCCCTCCGAGCGCTGGGTCCTTTCGCCTCTCACTCTCTGCCCTGGAACCCCACCTGGTGGACAGACAGAGCACTACAGATTCAGGGGACGCGATTCCCACTCCCCCTTCCCCAGGCACCTTTGCTCCTGATAGATGGCTCCAAGGGCCTGCCTGTGGGTTCCTGTCTCAGGGCCCTCACTCTTCTACCCCAAGCCGGTCGCTTACGAAGTCCGCATCAGAATTCCAGAAACAGAGAGCGAGGGGCACCCTCCCCCAGGGAGTTTCACCACAAATCAAATCTGGACTGGGCATCTCCCCCCCCCCCCAGAGTGGTGGGACCAGCACCACCCCACTCCCCAGCTGAGAGTGAAGCTGGGGTAAACGGGGGACAGGGGGAGTTACTAAAGAGCCCTGAGAATCCAGCCTGACACCCACGAAGCAGGAGTGGTAACAGGGGCTTGACCCCCGGGGCGGGAGCCACCTGTGAGAGCTGGCCCTGAAAGAATGGATGCATATACCTCACAGACTTGCAGCAGAGGCACCTCCTCTGCACAGTCACCCAGGCACACACACCCAACACAACCCCTGCCTCCCACCCAAGCATCCACAGCAGGCATCCCCCCCTCCCAGCCTGCAGGCGTCACTGCTCCAGGAGCACCCCTGAACTCCGCCTTCTCCCCACTCCCGGTCTCTAGTCCTCTCCCTTATTCGCCCTTGGGGCTTTTGTGCACTGTGTTCCCCAGTGTCTTGCCTCTCCTGCTCAGGTGTCTAGTGAGGGTGGGTGGAGAGATTCCAAGTCCTTCCTGTTGCCCAGCTGCCAGGTGGGGTCCTGGACAAGGTCCGCCGGGACAGCAGGGTCCCACTGCAATACTTGCTGCATTGCCTAATTGGAACCATCTCTGCCCAGTACTTAGGAAGAGGAGAAAAGGAAAGCTGTGGGAGTGCGATTCTATCAGCCTTCCTCCAGGTGCCCTGCAGAGCAGGCAGTGCTGGGCCGTGGGCCCTAAAGGGAGGTCTGTCCTGCCCCAGACCGAGCCCTGAGGCAGACTTCAGTAGGACGCATAGCCTGCACCTGAGGCAGACCCCAAGGCAGACTGATCCCTAATGCTGACCACAGATCCTGGAGCCCAGACTGAACCCCAGTGCTGCCTCGCATTACCCAACCCCTTTGTACGCTGGCCCCAAAGCTAGGCAGAGCTCAACCCCCAAGGCTCCAGGAACAGGCGTGTGCTCTAGGCTAGAATATTGTCCTCATTCTGCTTTGACAATGATCTGCCCGTGAGCATGTCTCTCCAGGCTGGTGTGGATGATATCAAGGGAACTCCTGGACACCCCACCCCACCCCACACCCCTTTTCCAGGGGCACGCCCCAGGGCTTCAGCTGTGGCCGGTGTTGCTGAGAAGCCTTGGTTTGTGGTTTGCCTCCCATATCCCCATAGCCTTCCTGGACTTTGAAGTCAATCAGAGAAGCCTGGGACATCACCAGGAGGGCGCTGGGGCAAGGTGAGCTCTGCCTGGACACATGTGGTACACTGGCAGGTGCTGGGACAATGTGGAGGACAAGCCTCAGCCAATGAGCAAGGCGCAGCCTCTGCCCCCTTCCGGTGCTCAGAAGCCTCCCATGCACGCGGGCAGGTCAGCCTGATCCTTGCTCCTGCCCAGGGCACACAGCTGGCCAGGGGTGCCAGCTGTCCTAGCCTTTCTCTGCCCACAGGAATGAGGACACTCTATCTTCCAAGTCCCTTACACATGGGCAGTGCTGTTAGCCAACAAACCTCCTCCACAGCTATCAGTTTATTCAGCTCACCCCCAGAACAGCTCGGGGAGAGAAGAGGACTTCAAATATTAGATGTACGTATTCCTCTGTGGATGAGAGGGTGGGGGCCCACCGCTCCCCTTCTGCTCCCCCACTGTATGTTCCAATCCAGTCTCCTCTCCCACCAAACCAGCACAGGGTCTCCACTGAGCCGCCCCACCCACGAGACCCCACCCCACGCGGCTGCAACCCCTTTGTTTCCTGCCTCTGTTTCTGACAACTAAAGCAAGCAACAGAGGGAGTTGACTTCACAGCCTCAATGGCTTTGGCTTTGAATTTTTTCCCCTGATACCTATTTACTTTGCTTTCTCTGAAACCACCTCTGATACTTCCGCCCAGACACACACACAAAGAGCATGGGGAAGCCCAGGATAAAAAGGGGTGACCCCCTTGACCCAACTGGCTGGCGTGTAAAGAGAGCCCAGTGGGCGGGGCCAGTAGACTTTGCCCAGGGTCTTGGGCCTCTGCCGGCTGGGCTATGGGGCAGAGAGTGCTGGAGCCCCATGGTGGGGGGCGGGGGGGGGTTCTCATCTGCCCTGGGGCCTCCGGCTGCTCCTGCTCCGTGCTGAGACCTCTTGTGGTGGGGGGCACTTCTTGCTTGTGATGCCACCAGGAAAGCGACCTCCCGCGGAGCTGTGGCAGAGAGGGCCCGGGCCGCGCACAGGTCCTGCCTAGACGCGTCTCCAGAGCGAAGCAGAAACTGCTTGCCCCCGTGAGGCGTCGCGAAGGCCCCCTTGGCACCAGAAGCTCCTCGGGAGGCCGCGATGCCCACCCTTCTGCTGCGCCATGCCCTCCCTCCAGAACGGGCATCGTCAAGGACGTTAGGGGACGCTCCCCGGCCATGCGCAGCCTGTTCCGCGGGGCGCCGGGACCCCTGCCGTCCTGCCTGGTTGTTGCGGGTTGGGGTTGCAGCTGCGCACTAACCCAGCTCGGCTTGGGAAGCACCACCCGGCCAGGAGCCTGCCTGTGTAGAGCAAGCAGGAGCTAAACTCTCCTGCTCCTCCCCCTGCAGCTTCAAGGGCCCTGAGACCATTTCGAGAATTTACTGGCCCCTTCAAAACGGCTGCCTGCCCAGAATCCCACCCAGCCCAGCCAGCTCCTGGGAGCCGCCGGCCGGCAGTTTAAGAAGCTACTGTGTTTTCACCTCGCCAAGGTTTCCTCCTCCCCCTTCTTTGTCCCTTTGGGCACTTTGTGCCCACCACCCACCCAGGTAGCTGCGGACGTTTTTGGTTTTGTTTTATGGCCAACAGCCCTGTCCGGGCATCTGTACCTGGCAGGGCCAGATGACCTGAGCCTCTCACCCCCAGTCCCTCAGAGAGAGGACCCGCCAGGAGACAGCCCAGCAGCCACCCCTCTGCAGCCCCCTGGGAAAACCAAGCGCCAGCCATTCCTCAGCTCAAAAGCCCCAGCTCCTGACTTGCTCTCAAAGCAGTGGCAATGCCCCCCTTCTAGCCGGTCCCTCTCCTTCCACCCCACACCCAACCCAGCCCGAAGCAACCCAAAAAGGGACTTGCCGATGGGAGGACAAGTGGGTACAAGGAAGGCAGCTGGTGGCTATGTCCGAATCAGCATCGCCGGAAACCCTGCCTGGTGGCGATGGGACACCGGCAGTGTCCCACGCAGGCTGTGGCTTGCAGGGACCCGGCGGCGGCAATGGCGTCCCCTCAGGCCCAGGGAGCCAAGAGCCCTTTATAGCCTGAAACCTGCCCTGGCACCGCCCACTGGGCGGCTGCAACAAGGGCCTGTGGCTAAGGGAGTCGCTAGGAGCCCGGAGGGCATCCGCCCCGGGCCCCCAGGGCTAGGCCCCCACGCCCAGGAATCCGGGCTCCAGAGGCCTCCCACCACAGGCCAGCCCACGTCCTGGTGTGTGTGTGCGCCAGTGTGCGAGCGCCCGTGCTTAAA